CTTAGATGCTGAAAAGGTAAAGCCTCCAGGGCGAGGCCCTGGCTGCTTGCTGCGTCCTGCGGCCGTCCCTCTGGTCTGTCCCGGGCCTCGTCCCCCGCTGACCCTCCCTTCTGCGGGAGGCTCCTCCTGCTGGCTTCCAGCAGGGGGCATCCCAGAACCAGCGACGCAGGTGAGTGAGGGACTATGGCCTGAACCATTTACACACACGTGCGTGCACACACCCACACGCACACCCACACACACACGGATTAGGTTTTTCATGAGCTTTAACCTTTATGCAAAGAGCTGCTGTTTCTTGCAAAGTGATTCACAAGAGGTCTCTTTAGAAAGACCTAACCCCCAGTGCCGACCTCCGAGGCGTCTAGGTAAAGTGGCTGGAAAAGTGGAGCACTGAGCACTGGCCCAACTGCCACTCGGCCGTGGGGCACCAGGCAGGCCCCACGTGCAGCCCGGGTTGGTCAGAACCCACGCTGGAAGCAACGACACATTGCGGAGGAAGACCCAGCACCTGACTTTTTGGAATGGTGCCTCCTGTGCATGGGAAGTTGCACAAGGGTTTGCAGGTGGGCCCCTGCTGGAATGAGGACACCGCCCAAGGAGACCACGGGTGCGTACTCCTCAGCCCCGGCCACCTTCATGGGCAGCTCTGCAGACAGACCTCCTACCACCCCTTCCCCAGTCCTCAGTCAACCTCGAGGAGCAGACGGGGCTGAGGTGGTGGCCAACAAGGCCTGTTGCATGTCCACAGACGCCCTGGAGAGCAGAGGCCATGTGCCTGGGGATGGCGCCCAGGGCCCATGCTTGAGGCGCTGTGGGAGGAGCAGCCCCATCCATGGAGGTGGCCCCCAAAACAGCACCTCCTCACACTGAGAAGCCCCGTCTCATCACTGTCAGATATTCATGAGATCGAGGGCCCAGGGCAGCCCTCTCAGCACCTGCCCTCTGCCGCCTCTGAGCGGGACCTGCAGGCGGCCGGTGGACACGCTCTGGTAGTAGAGGGTCAGCAAGGAACCCCCAGGCCTCCCCCTGCCTGGGGGTTGCTCAGGCCCCTTGCAAGGACACAGGGGAGCACAGGCTCCGGGGTGCCAGCCGACCCGTGCCCTCACACCCTTGCGGCTCATCCACGTGGAGCTCTGCCCAGGGCGGCACTTTGTTTTTATGGCCCCTGCAGGCTCGGAGTTCGTGCCGACGAGCAGGACACAGAATTCCCTGCAATTCGATGGGCTGGCAGGGCTCACAGCATGCGTCCCAGCACGCTAGTGACACGGCAGGACGCCGCTCCTGACACACATGCTCCTTCTGAGGGGACAGGGACCCACACGCCTCCCCACCCTGCCATCCCCTGGCACCCAGCTCTGCTCTGGACAGGCCTCGGCCCTGCTGTGGATTCAGGTCGCCCCCTTCCCTCCCGCCAGCATCCCGGTCTCCTCTCCCTCACTGCAGAGCCGTCACGTTGGAGGCCCTTCACGTGTTTGCGTGGACAGAAGGTTCTTCTAACGCTTTATCCACCAATGGTGAGTCAATCCATTCTTTGTTAGGTTTGAAAGGCTTTTAAAACTGAGAACACCTAATGTATAAACCATTAATAGTTAACGTTCCCTAAAACCTCTTCCATTTGATGGAATTTTAATGGCCACATGAAAATGACTTTGACTTCGTGTCTGTCCAGGTGGGCGCTCATTGCCAGAGCCGTCTGTCTACCCAGGGAGGGTGGCCGGCGCCAGAGCCCAGGGGTGACCCAGCTCCGGCCTGAGAGCACCCCGCAGAGGCCGGAGGTCGGGCAGACCTACCCCTGGGAGTCGACGGTCTGCTTTGCGCTCAGCAGCACCCGCGACAGGGAGGAGAAGAGCCTTAGGCGCATCTGTGGGTCTCTGGCCGGCTGGAGGCAGCTCCTGAGGATGGGCACAAGGTGGGGCAGCACTTCTCCCAGCGCCGGGCCTGGAAAACACACACGCGGTACCCACGGTTCCTGCTCGCAGTCAGCGGGCCCCACCACAGCATGCGGGCTCGGCGGAGGGGCCGTCAGCAGAGGCGGGGCCATGGCCTGTCCCACCACCTTCCCCTCCTTTTGGATCGTGGATGTCATTGTAAAAGAAAACATTTAACTCCCAAAATCATGCTACTCATTCCATATGGAAACTTCCTATTTCCTTATATTTTTTCCAGATTCTTAAAAAAAAATTCAAGTCAAGCAATATTTTAAACATCAACCCAAATAAATTATTCAGAACACGTAAGGTGTTTAATATTTGCCCCTACACTTGGCAACCATCGCTCTTCTCAAGCTTGCTGCTGGGTGGGCACTGGTGCAGGTCTCCCCAAGCTAGCGGGGGCCGCAGACATGCGGAATGACCCTCAGTATCTGGAATCACAGAGTCGTGATTGGAATAAACAGTCCCCGGGGTGTAGACACGCACTCTGATCTCATGGACACGGGTCATGGAGCGCCGCCCCCCAGGCAGGCCCCCCCGGCATTCCACAACCAACAGGGCCACTCCAGGCCACCCTGCTCATTCTGCCACGAGCCTGAGAACAAGCAAAGCAACTGGGGTCTTCTCAGATGCTCCAACTCAAACCTGGCGTCAAAGCTGCAAGATGGAAAAGCAAGGGGCGCCTGGGTGGCTCAGTCAGTGAAGCGTCTGCCTCCAGGTCAGGTCATGATCCCAGGGTCCTGGGACCGAGCCCTGAAGCGGGCTCCTGGCTCAGCGAGGAGTCTGCTTTTCCCTCTCCCTCTGCCTCTCCCCCTGCTTGTGCTCGTGCTCTCTCTCTGGGTCAAATAAAAAAGTCTTAAAAAAAAAAAAAGATGGAAAAGCAAGGCCTTTCGTTAACCTGAGGCCAGGTGTGGGTTTCGGGGAAGAAAGAGAAACAAAACCAGACAGGACGTTGTGGCCTAGGCACAGGACACATCCAGCACAGGCGAGCGCCGAGTGCTCACAGTCCCTGTGGTGTATTTTCCTTCAATATCGCACAGAAGGCCAAGGTCCGTAGGATTCTCACTGGAGGAGGAGGGTGGGGTCATTCAGGAGTAGTTACCAATCTCCTGCTTTTTCACAAAACACAGAGAAAATGCACCAGCAAAAGGACAGAGGGGTTTCCGTGAACGTCTCTTGCCCCTCCTGTAAACACACTTCTAGCTCACGCACGGTCTCCTCTTTACCAGCTGGGCACCAAAAACGCGTCATTTTTAGCAGGTCAAGTCTTTTAAACGCTCTCTGCAAAAATAAGGCGAAAAAAAAACCCATCCAAACTGCAGGGCGTTTGTCCACACTAACGGTATAAAAAGATGGGTAAATCTGAGCTCCTGCAGAAAGTCCTCAAGGACTGCATCGACCTGGAGAGCTGAAGAGCAACGCCCACGACCGGCGTGTGCGGGCATGCCCGCACCTCCAGGGTCACGGGGCACCTGGAAATGAACCCCTCCAGAACACACAGGATGCTTTCAAACAAAGGGAGCAAATACACTATATTTACACTCTGAGAAAACACTTGGTTCATTGAAGGTAAAGTGCAGAGTGGCCGCCCCCCCCCCCGGCCATCTGCTCCCCCTGCTGTGGCCGATGGCCCAGCTTTTCCTGATCAGCCCCAACGGCACGTGGGTTTGCAGCCTCTGGCTGCTTTCTAAATTGGGGAGGGAAGCTGCTGATCAGGGTCTGAGAGTAAGTTTTGTTGTTTTTTTTCAAGAATCATCTTTTAAAATGAAGTATGTCCAGTGAAACCTTCTCCACGACTGGTCCGAGAGAGGAATTTCTACAAGGCAGGGAGCAGGCATGAGTGTGAGCATGAGCTTTGCCCAAGGAAATGTTCTTCCATCGTCCCCGTGGCCTGGCAGGGACGGGCCTGGAGGCCCACACAGAATCCCCGTTTGCTGTGCTAAGTTCAACGACGCTGAGGCGTACCTCAAGAACACGGCTACACAGGAGGAGGCCTTGAGGAATCACACCTTCGAGGCTTAACATCAAAACCATATGCCTGGCAGACTTTGAAGAGCCCCGTTACATACAGTCTTCAAAAATAACGTTCTTGGCGTTTTTAAAATTAAGGTTTCAGTTCTCAAAATGCTGGTTCCCATGGGCGGGAGAGACTGAGTCACCCTTGGCTCGGCTGGCTTGTGGTCTCCTGGTTCAGCTGGGAGCCTCCTGGCGTGGCCTGAACCAGTCTGGGCGTGGCGGGAACTCACCTGCGTGGGTGACCACGACATTGAACTGCAGGAGCTCCACGGAGTGGACGGTCCAGTCGTGGTGCGAAGCCGCCACCCACTCCATGAGGGGGCCCACGTGCTCTCGGTAGAGATCCTGGCTGCCGTCCACATCCTGCACCGCGGCCAGTGCGTCCATGGTCTCCTGAACCTGCAAGTGTGAGCCATAGGCTGGGAAACCCCGCTCTTAAGGCTTAAAAGCCCCAGTGGAGACCCATCCTCATCATCAGAGAGTGAGAGCAGCTCAGGCCAACCGTGAACACTCCACCGGTGAGGAAGCGTGACATGAGCAGCCCCTGGAGGGCTTACTGCGGTGAGGACGGCAGGTGCCCGACTGACAGCCACTGTGCACTCTGCGTCAATGCCGTCTGGACAACAAATAACAAACACACAGACGTGCGTTTACGGGAGATTCAGCCACCGTGCCTCCATTCTGCACGATGCCGGGGCACCTGGGGACAGGAGGCTTCCCGGGAGACCACCCTCTTCTGGGGTCCGCATTCCCCTCTGCAGCAGGAGAGCTGGGCACCAGGTGGCAGCAGGGCACTGGAATGAGCAGACATACACAATGCTGGCCCGAGATCACCCTGCGACTGGGCCTTCCGGTGGAGACAACTGCCCTCTGGGGGAACAGAGGGCAAGGGGACAGGACACAGGCCGGCAGCCACCTCCCAGCCTGCAACCTGACGGCTGGCAGGTTTCCTTCGCTCGGGTCCCAGGAGTGCAGCTCTGTCTGTGGCTCTGTACTGACAAGTTGCCGGCTAAGATATGTGCCCTTTGGAAAGTTTTTTTTTTTTAAATTAGGTGGGGGTGCACCGTTCCTGGAAGTACTGCAATACCAGGTCGATGCGTGGAGTGGAAGGAGCAAGCTCCTATTCCATCTCCCTGCTCCAAGAATCCATTCAATATATATTGTTCTCGGATAAAGAACATATCAGATATTAAACTGGTAAGAACAGATACTACACTTGCTTGATCTTAGTCAAAAGGCCGAGAAGCGATGGAAAGGTTGTTTTTAGAGAGAGAAAACAAAGTTTGGAGGCCCAAGAAAGGAGAGGGAGGGCAGAGGGCCTCCTGGTTACGGGGTCCCGTGACGCGCCTGGGTGCCTCTCCATCATGCGGGTCAGCCCCCAGATCTGCCCGCGGCTGGCGAGAGAGAGCCAGAGGGAAAACCACACTCTCCTGGAGACACCAGCCTCCTGATGGTCCCAGAGCCCGAGGGAACCTGGACATCAGTTTTTAAAGCTCAGACCAAGAGGGGAAAAAACACAAGTACTTCTGCAAAGTTGGCCTGTGATTAGACAGGAAATCATGACGTTATCTTCCCTCTGGGCTGTCGGTCACATATGTGTTTAACCACAGGCCGGAGGTGAGGACGGGCTCTGTCCTGTCCGCCTGTTGGCAGCTGTCGTGACCTCTGCGACACAACGATAAACAGGCAGCTGGGGCTTTTCCAGAATCTTGGGCACGCCTACGGCCACCTCATGAGCAACTCATCCCAGATGTCCTACACACTCCTCTGCCTTGCTAGTCAGCTGAGTCAGGTGAGCCCGAGGCTTTGGACTCCAGAGCAGGAGGATTTCTAGACGGTGGTTCCATCTGCTCAGAGATGAGCACCTTCCTGAGCATGAGCTCCATCACCCACACAGCAAAGCGAGGGGTTCCCCGCAGCCTCACCTTGTCGCTGAGGCCCGTGGCACCCGAGAGGGCCATGACGGTCACCAGCACCTCCATGAGCTGTAAGCTGCACCCTCTGCAGTCTTCCCGGCACACAGAAACCAATGTCCGCACGCAGAGCAGTAGGTGCTCCCCGTAAAGGTGCTGTGAAGAGAGCAGGGAGCTCTGTGAGCCAGCTCTGCCCCCACCCACATGACCCCTGCCAACACCCCCTTCCCACCCCAGGGCCCCCCGACATCCCCCCTGACCCTCTGCCCCCCTCTGCTCAGGTCCTGCCTCCCTCCACCCCAAGGCTGCCGTGCTCCCTTCCCCTACCCTGCCCCCCCAACCCCCCAGGTCCAGCTTCCCCACCCCCACACCAGGGCCCCCCTGCTGCCCCCAGGTCCAGCCTCCTCCCCACTCCCGCCCCAGGGCCCCCCTGCCCCCCCTAGGTCTAGCCTACTCCACACCCCCGCGCCAGGGCCCCCCTGCCCTGCCAGGTCCAGCTTCCCCACCCCCACCCCAGGGCCCCCCTGCTCCCTTCCCCTACCCTGCCCCCCCACCTCCCAGGTCCAGTCTCCCCACCCCCACGACAGGGCCCCCCTGCTCCCTTCCCCCTTGCTCCCCCCATCCTGCCCCCCTGCCCCAGGGCCCCCCTGTGCCGCACCCGTTCCCAGCTCCCTCTTCCTGCCCCAGGGCCCACACCGACAGGACACAGCACACTAGGGCCACAGATTGAAATACACGGACCACAGGAGCACCTTCTTTCATGGAAACTTTCATGGTGTTCTTTTCCAGGGGAAACTGAACACGGCCCGAGAAAGAAATGCTTAGCAGCCTCTCGGTTACATTTAAAGAAGTTCTTACGCATTAGCCACACATCCCATAAAATTCACAAGGGAAATGACAGGGCATGTTGGAGTCACCTGCAAACACTCAGGCCTCCCAGCCCGCCCCCAAGGTAACAGAAAAGGTGGAGGAAGTGGACAGAACAGGAGCCCCAGAGCCCATGGCCACTGAGGCCGGGTGGGGGCATGTGGAGCTTCATCTGCTATTCTCTCTACTGCTGTGTGTTTCTGAGTTTTTCTGTAATAGTAAGTTTAAAAAATAAATAAATACAGTTCTGTGGTTCAGGACATGCTTGCTGATGGACGGCGACAACAGGGGGCACCTCAGCCGGGTCCATCCAGCGAGCCGCTCACCTCCTGGACTTCAGCCTCATCAACCGTGGGGCAGGACTCCTTATGCCCAGGTCCATGTTCGCTCCTCAGATATGTCCCTCCACAAGTGAGCCTCACACAGGTGTCACAAAGGACAGAAAGGCTGGGCGGCGGTCACGCAGCAGTGGGCTGACACTGAAGTTGTACACGCCGCACGCAATCTCACTAACAAGGGCCCGCGCACAGGCGGTTCTGGACTTCTGTGGCTCATGCACAAGTGACATGAATCGCGGGACTTCAAACCAAGAATTCACGCTGGATCACAGAGGAGTGCGGCCCACACACGCCCGGCCGCTCACATGCAGGCTGGGAGGCGGCCTCGAGCGATGGCATCCAGCTCTCCCGGGGAAGCCAGGCCAGGGTTTAATTCACATTCTCACGTGTCCCACGGCCCGATTTCTTTTAGACCCGGACGGGCAGCCACCCAGTTTCTGAGGACGTGATTTCAGCTCATCTCTAGAACGGTCTATACTAAACGCTTACGGAGGGATCACTTCCAGTTAGGAAGGGATTCGGCTCCTGAGACGTGAGCCACCATTAGCGTGGGCCGGCTGTCTGGGCTGGCGGTCGTGGGGTGCGCCGGACCCGGAGCCAGTGAGGAGCCTCATGCAGGGAGTGCGGCACCGTCTCTGCGAAACTGGGCCTCAGCGTTCATGGAGTTCTTCCCACTTAAGCAGAGAATGTTCCCTTCACCTGCACCCCATAGGGACACAGAGGCGGGGGGAGGCGACAGGTTCCAAAGTGATGTCTTGGTTTCTGCTCCTGAAACTCAGTGTCACCTGAGGTTGTCAAACTTTATGGGAGAAAGTGCTAGAGGCTGACGTTTCTACGGCGACCGTGCCCCTACACTCCTGGTTTCTGCTCGTTCAGCAGGAATAAATGAGCTATTCGTATGGTATCAAACTATTTCCTCAGCTCAGTTACCTGTCACAAAACAGACATTTCAAAGGAAAGGATCCGATTCCCTCAGCTCAGTCCCAGGTGCAGCACTGGCTAGACACAACTGGGGAGGCACCTGCCTCGACCCCTCCCTGCAGCACAGGAGGCCCCGCGCGGAGCGGCCCGGCAGTGCCCTCGGGGCTCCTCTGTCTGGCTGACGGGGAGTTTCTACGCCTCAGTGTGTTCTTGAAAGACGTCCGCAGCCCGTCCTCCCAGCTCCTGGGGAAGGACTGCAGAAAGCTCGCGCTGCTTCCCGTCACCACGGCTGCACCAGACTCTCCTGCCCCGGGGAGAACAGGGCTGCGTCTGGTGCCTGTGCCTAAACCTGAGTGTTCGTCCCCTTTGCTAAACGTTTGAGTCTGTGAGGAAAGGGGCAGAATGCGCATCTTGGGTTTTCACTGCGGCTGGTTCCTCAGCCCGAGCCTGGAACACATTGGGGGAGACACTAGGTGTGATCACGCTCTGTTTAAAACATCACTACAGGGGCTCAGTCAGTTGAGTGACCAACTCTTGATCTCAGCTCACTCAGGTCATGACCTCAGGGTCATGAGATCAAGCCCTGCGTTGGGCTCTGCGCTAGGCGCGGAACCTACTTAAAAAAAACAAAATAAAACAAAACAAAACAAATCATTATAGAAATTCCTCCTCAAAAAAACTGGAAGATGAGGAGCCAAAGGCATAATCTGAACTTTGTGGATTAAGAGATTAAATTTTTCTATAAATATGCTAAGACATGAAAATTATATTTTCTTGCCTATAAAACTTGTAAGATCTGTATTTAAGCATGTTTGCAAAATTTCAAATTTAGCCTTTTAGGAAAAAGAAAGCTCTGGCTCACAAATCTATGTAGAGGGATCAGAATCATTTCCAAGCCACCCTGAGTAAAAATGCAGAATTCACATGGGTTTGATGATGACGTTAAAAACAGGTTTGGGAAAAGGTGAAATCTGTTAAAAGCACCAAGAGCGGGCAGAACAGTTCATCGACACTCCCTCTCTGATACCTCAGCCCCCCTTCCCACCCGCTGTGCTCTGAGTGGCCTTGACAGTGCGTTTGCAACCGTAACGGGACCACCTTGCCACCTGAAGCCAGAGAAGGACCAGATGAGTCCTTCACCTGGCCGTGCCCGAAGATGTAGCTGGTCCCCCAGCCCCGGGTCAGTCATGGCCCAGCAGCGGCTGCGGGGCCTTGAGCCTGCACCACGGGGGACAGACAAGGAGCTGGTGCAGAACCCCGTTCCCTACAGAGGAGTGGGAGGGCCACACCCAGTGCTAAGGTTACAGGGTTTAAGCCTGTCACAGCCAAACAAAAACAAAGTCCTTACTTTTTTCTCAATAGCAAACAATTATAAATTATTCCAAATGACGAAGCCTGGCTACCCAGACTGTTTCGATGTAGAATAAAGCGAATACCTAGTAGCCACGTGTGGATTCCCATACCCACTTCCCAGCCGAGCTCAGCAAGCTCAGCTTGCTTGTTCTGAGCACGTTATGACAATGCCGAGGGACACGAGCAAAGAACCAGCTTGTGGTGGTGACGAGCTGAGGACCGACGGTGGGGGCAGGAAGGGTGCTGACCATGTGAGCCCCAGCGCTGTGGCCCCACAGCCCGTCCCCGGCATGAACCTGCTCTATCCCATACTGTCCCACACAGTGGCCGCTGGGCATGTGGTGGGCGGCCAGCGTGAGGCAGGACCTGCCCTTTCCATGTGTTTAGTTTCAACGTGAATGCCCACCAACTGGACAGAGCAGGAGGCACGCAGGTCTCCAGACAAGACGGTGTCAATGACAGTACCTTCGGGTGGAAATCTCCGATGGTGGGGATCTACCAATACTGGTCAACAGGTATGTGTAGAAAGCCGGGGGCAGGGGGTGCCGCCCACCTCCCCTGCACGAAGGGTTAACCTCATCATGTGCTCCGCCTTCCTCCCTTCCCACAGCTTACGTTTTCAGACCCTTGACAGATGTGGGGCCGGGCCAGCTCTGCGGCGATGACCTTCAGGTGCGGCTGGAGGGCCTCCCTAGGGCAGCCTCGGATGACAGAAGCGAGGACCAGGAGGCCGGAGGCGGAGGGCGACTTCTTCAGCGTGGACAAGATCAGCTTCAGAAACACTTCTGGGCTGACGAACACCCCAATCAGCTCTGCAGATCTGGTGCACTGCGAGAGAAGGCAGGAGGCTGACGGGTT